CAGTTATTTATGTGAATATGCTGAGGACCAAAACTCAAAAGAATGTCTTTAGATATCCACAACTTTGATATATACAACTGAGCTAAAATTAAGCCATTTGTAAGGGCATGATTTAGACCATCAAAAAAACTGGGGAAAATGTTTTGAAAAATCATTTTCAAATCCCTGTGTCCTTTAAAAGTGATTTCTCTAGCCAGGCGCAGTGGTGCATGCCTGTTATCATAGCAGCTTGGAAGGCTGAGTCAGGAGGATTTCGAGTTCAAAGCCAGCATCAGCAATGCCGAAGCACTAAGCAATTCAGTGAGACCCTCTCTCTCTAAATAAAATACAAAATAGGACTGTCTCAGTGGTCGAATGCCCCTGAGTTCAATCCCTGATACCAAAAAAAAAAAAAAAAAAAAAAAAAGATTTTTCTGATGAGGTTCTCTCAATATGGTCTAGTCATGTATTTTTTCCCCCCATATCCTGAAACTGAGAAGGAAATTTTTATGCTGGAGACTTTAGGAAGCTTGTTGAGCCCTTATGAATTGAGCAAATCTAGCAGCTGCTAATTATTATTATTTTTCCATTTGAGGGATGAATTTTATTTTTGAAAATGTCAATCTCACTTATGCATGGTAGGTGTGGAACCCCAGGTCTTTGCAAATGTTATTGCTGTTGGTTAAATGGATTTGTCAATCTTTAGTTTCTAAAATAAGTTAGAAGGTTTTGGAGCTATGACTGAGACAGGCATTGGAGATTATCTTTGTTGTCTAGAGTTCTACATCTGCTCTGAGTTTTATTTCCCCTTTTAGTTCTGTTTAGTCAAGAGTCTGAATTATATGTATAATGATATGGGACATTATATTTGTTTTAAAATTCTGATTTTTATCAGAAAGTCTTAAGAATTACCATCAAGTTACTATCTTCTTTTCATTAACTGTATTTATCACAACTTTTAACTCATATCTACATGTACTTACTTATTCATAGATGTGTGCATTTTCCTGTGCAAGTAGTTAATAGTTTCAAAGAGGCCAGCTCTAGCTTGAGTGTATAGGGACTATTTTTCTCACTTTGGCATAGAAATTATATTGCCATGAAAAAATTGTATTCTCAAATCTATCCCTTATTCCCTATTTCAGAAATTCTGCATAGACTTTGCTAATTAAATCTCCATCTTGCTTATTAGATACAGGTGTGACTGAAGCAAGACTGAGACTTGTTTTGGCACTGGGGATTGAACCCAGGGGCACTTAACTACTGAGCAACATCCCCAGCCCTTTTTTTTTTTTTTTTTTTTTTTAATAGGAGACAGGATCTCGCTGAGTTGCTTAAGGCCTCACTATGGCTTTGGACTCACAATCCTCCTACCTCATCCTCCTGAGCCACTGGGATTACAGGCATGTGCTACCATGCCTGGCAAGACTGAAACATTTTAAATCTTAAAATGTGGCCTGCATTACCACTGCAGTGCGGTGCAATGAACCATTCACAACCCGCAGTGGATAGTACAGAAAGTGAGAGTGAGCATGAAGTGTGATCTTTATCACCTGTGTAAGCAGTGTAGTGCATCCTTTACAACCCACAGTGGATAGTACAGAAAGTGAGAGTGAGCATTTAGAAACTTACAGGAATTTGATAGAATAATTGCATGTCTATTAATTTTTGTAATATAGAATTTGAGTTTGGATTTTTCAGATATTTTAAAATTCATTCTTAATTTTTTAATGAAAGCATTCACCTTGAGACTGGTCATCACCACAGTTGATAAATGTGTAATTTCATGGCTAGAAGTTTAATTTTGGTAATGGAAAGATCTGAATTGTCATGTGATTCCATCTTGTACTTAGTGAAGTCAAGATCTTGCTGCACCACAAATTTTCCAAAGGCTAAATGAGGCTGGGTTGGCCACTTTTTCGTTTTGTTTTTGGTACCAGAGATTGAACCCTGGGGTGCTTTACCCTTGTTTATATTTTATTTAGATACAGGATTTCACTGAGTTGCTCACAGCCTATGTTGCTGAGGCTAGTTTTGAACTCATGATCCTCCTGACTCATGTTTACCAGCCACTGGGATTACAAGTGTGTGCCACTAGGCCTGGTCACTTTTTTGTTTTGTTGGGTGAAGGTACTACTCAGTTTTAGGATCTTATAAAACTATGTTGCTCCCAGATTTTATAGGTTGTTTCTGGAAGATTTTGTTTCAAGTACTTTTCATAACACATTATTTCCTCCTTTATATTCTTTATCAGATGAAGAGATGAAATTAAAACTTGTTTTCAAGGAAAAATTAGGCTTACTGATTGATTTGACAGGATTGAAGAAAAGGGGAGAATAAAAGATGACTGATCTTTGAGGTGCCATTATCTTGAGAATTGAGAATACCATAACACAGACTGTCCTATTGAGATATTGAATGTGTTAAAGTTATAGTTGAAACCACTAATGATATTATTACCATAATATCATATAGAGTTTAAACAGACATGTAGGAGATCAATAAGGGACCATGTGAACCAAAAAACTTTCATGCTTCTAAAGTTAGAAGAGATGGTAGTAGGAAAAGTAACTGGAAAAGGTAACAGAAAACTTAATAGAAGAACAAGTAAAATCTCAGAAAAGGAAATAAGGAAAGGAAGAGTTTCTTAAAAGAAGAGGTTATTAGATTTAGGGTTCTATACAGTTTAAGATCTCAAAAGAATTTGTGGAAGGAAATAATAGATGTCTTGGGAGAGAGTAGTTCATAGGAGTAGTCATAGTAGGAGCTGGGGTTAAGGGAAGAATTAAACATGATCTATGTTATCTAGTCGGGTGATATGGACTAGGATTTCACAGTTTAGTAAAGGACACAGGCTTGTTCAAATGTTAATGTCATTGATAATTTCTTCTTTGACCTGTGGATTTTGTAGAAGCACATTGTTATCTTTCCAAATAGAAAGTAGACATTTACAGGTCTTTAATTGAATTCCATTATGGATAAAGAACTATTCTGTAAATTTTTAACCCTTGGAAAGTTGAGAATTGTTTTCTGACTCATAATGTATCATGGTGAATGTACTATGCTCATTTTAAAAGAATGCGTATTTTGCAGGTGGGAATAGTGTTCTGTAAATGTCAATTAGGTCAGGGTAGTTGATAGTTATTATTCAGATCTTCTGTGTACTGATTTTTTTGTTTAATTGTTCTATCTGTTGCTTAGAGAGCTGTTCACATCTCTAGCTTTTATTTTAGATTTGTTTATTCTCCCTTCAATTTTGTTAGTTTGTGCTTCATGAATTTTCAAGCTCTATTATTACATTATGCACGTTGTGTTTCCCTAATAAATGGCCCCCTTGTGTCATTGTGAAATGTTCTCTTTTATCACTGATAAAGCTCTTTTCTCAATATATACTTTATTTGAAATTATGTGATAAGCCAGTTCTTATGCTTATAGTTTGAATGGTATATCTTTTTCCATCTTTTTAGTTTTACCCTATCTTTGATTTCATATTTAAAGTTTGTCTCTTTTAGACAATATATAGTTGAGTCTTGAATATGTTCTAATAATCTCTGCCTGCTAACCTGAGTGTTTACTTCACTAGCATTTAAAGTGATTGTTGGTGTGGTTGGGTTAGATCTGCCATTTTACTCTTTTCTGTTTGCTCCTTTGTTTTTTGATTTCTCTTTTCAATTTTTGTCTTCTCTTGGGTTAATTGAATTCTTTTTAAAATAAATTTATCTATTTATATAATTAGGTACATATGACAGCAGAATGCGTTTTGATTCATTGTACATAATTGCAGCACAACTTTTCATTCTCTGGTTGTACATAATGTAGCATTGTACCGTATGTGCAGCCACACATGTACCTAAGGTGATGATGGCCATCATATACATATTAATTCAATGAACGGTTTGTCTTTATTAATTTGTTGATTCCTTTGCTATTTTCAGAAATACTCTTTTTTTTTAAAATGTATTTTTAGTTGTCAGTCGATCTTTTTACTTGATTTATTTATATATGGTGCTGAGAATTGAACCCAGGCCTCATACATGCCAGACAAGTGATCCTACCACTGAGCCACAACTCTAGCCCTTTGTAAGTTCTCTTAAAAATAGACAAGTGCAGAAGAAAGTTAGGGAACTGTTTGAATACCATAAAAAATTTCTGATAATTGTTCAAGCAAGAGAATTTTAAAATTACTGTTCTTTGTGCATAGATTTCTAAGGGGGGAAATATGTAACTGACTGGAAACTAGAGAGATAATCACAGGAGCACTCTTTTTCTTAGCATCCTTAGTGTTCTAACTGGGCAACAAATGAAGTTCACTGTATTGTACTCAGAAGCAGGGCTGTGAGAAATGATTGTGGTGGATTTTGTTTTCAGTGTATTTAGTGTTGTGAAGCTTGTCTGGGCCAATAAATATGTTTAGTAAGCCAGAAGTATGTGTGTTAGTCACCGTTCATCACAGTGACATAATACCTCAGATAATCAGCCCATAAGAAGGAAAGGCTTACTGTGGCTCATGGTTTCAGTTTTGTGGTTTCTTGGCCCCATTGCCTTTGGGCCTGCAGCAGAAGGGCACATCATAGTGGGGAGCATGTGGTGAAGGAAGCTACACACCTCATATGTGGCCAGAAAGCAAAGGGAGAGAGATGGAGGAGCCAAGGTCTCAATATCCCCTTTAAAGGTATGCTTCCAGTGACATAACTTCCTCCTTCCTCCATTAGGGGCTTCATCTGTAAAGTTCTTACTACCTCCCAGTAATATGATGGGCTGGGGACTAAGCTTTTAACACCTGGGAGTTTGAGAGACATTTCAGATTCAAACTATAACAGTATGTAAGTAATCAAAGGTAGAGTTCTAACAAGGGAGAGGCACTCATGAAGGAGGCTATCACGATGAAGTCATTGACTTAAAAGTGATGGTTATATCTGAGAACAGAAGGAAAGTTAGAGGATATAAAAGGAAATGAAGAAATCTGGGAACATCATGTGACAAAATTATAAAGTTTTTTATTATTTCTTTTTCTAACCCAGAACTTTTTAGAAAAGTCAACTGAAAGAGAAACTCGTCAGGAATATGCTTTGGCTATGATTCAGTGCAAAGTTCTGAAACAGTTGGAGAACCTGGAACAGCAGAAGTATGATGATGAAGATATCAGCGAAGACATCAAATTTCTTTTAGAAAAACTTGGTGAAAGTGTCCAGGACCTTAGGTGTGTTCGTATTATTACTTTAAAAAATTCTCATATACTGGATCTGTTGGGCTTTGTTTGATTTGCATAGCTTTTTGTTTTATTTTGTTTTTGGCAGGGAGTGGGGGTTCTTACTGTGTTGCCCAGGCTGGCTGTGAACTCCTGGGCTCCAGAGATCCCTCCTGCCTCAGTCTCCTGGGGGGTTGGGGCTACAGGTACATATGCTGACTTGCATAATCTTTTCAGAATCTGAATTGATTGCCAAGTATGAAAATCAAGAGCATTCCCTGAGATATGCTGTCTTCTCTTGAAATATCATTTTTACATGGCAACAGTTGGTTAGAGCTGTGGGTTACCTCTTCTCCGTTGAGATTACCATTTTTATTTATAAACAGTGAATGAGAGTGATGTGTACAGTTGGCTTATCTCTATTTTTGTTGTTATAAGGTGTAGGATATGAATGTTAAAAATACTATCACTTTTTATACCAACTGGCCCTACATAAAACTAAGTAACTACTTTATTTGAACAGGATACCCCAATCATCTTACTTATCATGCTTTCACTGAATTACCAGTCAATATTTAATGGCTACATCTCTTTTAAGTTTTTACTTGAAAGAAAATCTCAGCATGTCCTGACATTGTCTACTAGCTGACCATGTTAAAAAATATCAGATTATGATGTTTTGAATAACCAAGTTACTGTACACAGAGTGAGTGGTTTCTGAATTAAAGTGCACTGCAGTTTGTTATACATATAGATGTTTTTAATTAATCTATAATGGATTATTTCAATTAATAAATTACCTCTACATTATTGGTAGTCACATTGTAAAATATTGTACAGATATTTGTGATTTTATTTTTATGATGTATAAATTATCATAGTTTATGATATAGTCTAAAGGTATTAGGGTATGCTATTTTATGTTAAAGTACTTTGCTTTTACATATGTTCACATTATTATGCCTAGTAGTCTGGCAAACATCAGTATTTCAAGTGTCACAGTAGAAATTCTGATAGATTAAACAGTTTTTTTTTCCTAATACATATTCATGTACTTATTGGGATAAGGATTTTGAAAACAAGTGCTCATTTAAATATTTCATGCAGTATTCAAATTTTCAGGAGTGAGTACTTTGATAAAATTTTGATCTTAGTATTTTGAATAAAATTTCATAGAATTCATTAAAGATTATTAAATCTATTTAAACTTTATTTAGTGATAGTTTGTTACTATATATTGTCAGTCTTCATAATTTTAAAAGTGAAGAAATTTGATTATGCTTAATTTTGGAATAACTCAAATTCTTATTGTACACAATATTCATTTAAAAATTTTATAGCTCATTTGATGAATATAGTTCAGAACTTAAATCTGGAAGGTTGGAATGGAGTCCTGTGCACAAATCTGAGAAATTTTGGAGAGAGAATGCTGTGAGGCTAAATGAGAAGAATTATGAACTCTTGAAGTAAGTTTTTATTCCACTTTACACTCTTAACGCCTGTTATTTCAAATCCTCATCAACTTTTGTTTTTGTCATTCTTTAAATCTTACGTATTCTATGGTTTTAGTTTATGTTTTCATGCTGAATAGTTTAGTTGAATGCCTTTTTATTGGGACATCATCTTTTCTTGGGGAAGTACCCATTCAAGTCTTTATTTATTTATTTTTGCATGTTAATGGGAATTCTGTATTCAGAGTATGACTTATTTTTTCATATATTCCTTACAACTATATTGTCTCATTCTGCATCAGCTATGTCACTCTCTAATGGTGTTTGGATGAAAAGAAACTCTAAAATTTTTAAAATATTTTTTTTTAGTTGTAGATGAATACAATCCCTTTATTTATTTTTACGTGGTGCTGAGGATCTAACTCAGTGCCTCACATGTGCTAGCAAAGTGCTCTACCACTGAGCTACATCCCCAGCCCAAAAGCTCTAAATTTTAATGTGGCTCAATTTATTAATGTTTCCCTAAGACATATGTCCTATGTCTTGGTTAAGAAGGTTTTGCCTACTTAAGTTCATGAAGCTTCCTTTTTATATTAATTTATAGAGGCTTTATTATTTTACCTCTTAACATTTAGAAGTCCGTCTATCTGGAATTGATTTTTGGGTAAGGTATAAAGTAGAAGTAAAAAATCTACTCTTTTCCTTATATGGCTATTTAATTGAACTAGCACCCTTTATTGAAAATAACATTTTCTCAGTGTTTTGCAGGCTTATTTGTCATGATAAGGTGACCACATATGTGCAGGTATCTTACTGTACAATTTACATATTATACAATTCATCTATTCAAAATGTCTGATTCATTCACAGCTGTGCATGATTATCAACACAGTCAATATTAGAACATTTTCTGAAATAATTCCCATGTCCTTTAGCTATCACCTCTCTATCCACCCATTTACCCAGCTTGAAACAACCACTTCATGTCTCTCTCACATAATCTCACATAAATGGGGTCATATATTTGTACTTTTTGTATCTTGCTTCTTTCACTCACCATATGTTCAAGGTTCATGTTGCAGCATTTATCAGTACTTCATTCCTTTTTATGGTTGAGTAATATTCCATTGTATGAATAAGACTACATTTTATTTTGAACTCATCAGTTTATGGATGTTTGGATTGTTTCTACTTTTTGTTTATTATGAATAATAAGACTAGTGATACTTGCTGTAGAAGTTGGTGTGTGGATGTAAAGTTTTTATTTCTCTTGCTTGGGTAGATAACTAGGAGTGTAATTGTTTAGTCATGTGGTACTTTTTCATTTAACCTTTGTGGAACTCCTAGACTATTTTTCCAAAGTTAAAACTGTAATTAAAACTATGATGTAAGATAATAACAATTTATTAAAATAATTTTATTATTAAAATTATAATAGCTATAAAATTATAGATTTCCACCAACAATGTATGAGGTTTCTGATTTTTCTGCCTCTTTACTAAGGTTTATTATTTGACTTTTTGATTCCAGTCATTTTAATGGATATATAGTGGTAGCTTATTGAGGTTCCTATTTGTATTTCCTGATGGCTAATGATCTCAAAGGTCTTATCTTATGCTCATTGGCCACTTTATATCTTCTTTGGAGGAGTAGCTATTGAATCCTTGATGTGTATGTATGTACGTGCATACACACACACACACACACAAATAGGTAAATATTTTGCTTTCTATACATATTTTTATTGATTGTTTTTAGTTATACATAATATCCCTTCCCTCTGCTCTACTAGTCTTTCTGCTGTTTTTTTTTTCAGTTAGTGTCTTGTGGATGTACATGATGGTGAGATTCACTGTGGCTTATTCATATATGTACATAGGAGTTAGGGGGCTGGAGCTGTGGCTCAGTGGTAGAGCACTTGCCTGGCATGTGTGAGGCACTGGGTTCAATTCTCAGCACTGCATATAAATAAATAAGAGGTCTATCAACAACTAAAAAAAAAAAAAAGGAGGAAGTCCTAACCCATAGGAAAGTTAGGTTATATTCATTCCACTGTTCTTCCCTTATCCTGTCCCTCCTCCATACCCCCCTCAAGCCCCTACATCTGGTTCATTGATCTTCTATTCCCCCGCTTTTTTCCCTTTCTTTCTCTTTTTTTACTCCCTTATTTTGTATTAGTTTCTGTATATCAGAGAAAACAATTGACTTTTTGACTTTTTGGGTCTGGCTTATTTTACTTAGAATGATAGTCTCCCATTCCATCCACTTACCAGCAAGTCCTTGACTCATATTCTATTGGGTTGCCTTGTTGTTATTTAAGTTATAAGGTTCTTTATGCAGATGCCCCCTCAATTTATGATACCTACATCTTGGTAAATGTAGTATAAGTTTAAAATGCACTTAATATACCTAACTTAAAACATCATAGCAACATAGTCCATTGTACTTTATCAGTTGATTGCCCTTGTGATTTGGCGGAATGATGGATCCCTGCCACTGCTCAGTATCATGAGAGACTATTGTGCTGCATATTGATATTCTGGAAAAGATTACAAATCAAAACTAAAAGTATGGTTTCTATTGAGTGCATATTTCTTCATACCTTCATTAAGTCAAAAAATTGTAAGTTGAACCACAGGGTATCATCTGAATATTCTGAATATAAGTCCTTGATCAGACATATGATTTACAAGGCATTTTCTCCCTTTTATGTGATTCCTAGCTTTCTTGGTGGTATCCTTTGAAGTGTAAGAGTCTACTTAGGATTTTGATCAAGTCCAATTTGTTTGTTTGTTTGTTTGTTTTGGTTCCTTGTGTTTTTGGTTTTGTGTCAAAGAATCCATTAACAAAATTCAGCTTACAAAGATTTATCCCATGCTTTCTCTAATATTTTTGTGGTTTTAGCTCTTACATGTTGGTCTGTGATTCACTTTTAAGTTATTTTTATATTTGTGTAAGACGAAGGTCCAATTCTTTTGCATGTAGCTGTCTGATTTTTCAGTGTGTTGAAAAGACTGTTCTTTCCCCATTGAATTCTTGGCCCTTTTGGAAAATTTATCTGACTATACACACATGGGTTTATTTCTGGACACTATACTGGTCTATATGGTTTTCCTGATGCCAGTACCATACTGTCTGGGTCACTGCAGCTTTATAGTAAGTTTTGAAACGAGACATGACTTTGATCTTTTTTTATTCTTTTTTAAAAATGAGTTCATCTTATTTGATCAATCTCTAAGTAATAGGCATTTAGATTTATTGCCAGATTTGTCTGTTACAAACAATGCACAAATTACCTTACTATAACTTTTTAAGATAGTAGACTTTAATTTTTAGAAAAATTTTAGGTGTACATGAAAATTGAGCAGAAAGTACAGAGCATTCTTACATCCTATCTTAATCCCCACCAGCACAGAGTTTCTTTTGATTTTAACATCTTGCATTAGTGTGGCACATTTATTGTAGTTGATAAGCTAGCATTTGATGCATTATTTATTTATTTATTTATTTTTAAATTTATATGACAGTGGAACGCATTACAATTCTTATTAACATATAGAGCCACAATTTTTCATATCTCTGGTTGTACACACAGTATATTCACACAAATTCGTGTCTTTATACATGTACTTTGGATAATAATGATCATCACATTCCACACTCATTAATAACCCCATGCCTCCTCCCCACCCCTCCAACCCCTCTGCCCTATCTAGAGTTCGTTATTAACTGAAATACATTTGTTACCTTGGGGTTCACTTTTTGCATTGTACATTTCTATAAGTTTTTTTAAAAAATTTATTCTAATTAGTTATACATGACAGTAGAATATGTTTTGACACATTGTAAACAAATAGAACACAGCTTTTCATTTCTCTGGCTGAACATGGTGCAGAGTAACACCCATAGTATAATCATACATGTACATAGGGTAAAAGTGTTTGTCTTATTCCACTGTCCTTCCCATTCCCACAACTCCTTCCCTCCCTTCACTCCCCTCTGCATAATCCATAGTTTCTTCATTCTTCACAACCCCTCCACCCCACTATGGATTAACATTTACTTATCAGAGAAAACTTTTGACTTTTGTTTTTTTGTGTTTGGCTTATTTTGCTTAGCATGGTATTCTCCAGCTCTATCCATTTACCTGAAAATGCTATGATTTCATTCTTTTTTAAAGCTGAGTAATATTCAGTTGACTATATTTGTGTGGGTCCACTTCTGAATTTTCTGTTCTGTTCCATTGATCTAGTTGTATATTCATTTGTAAATACCATACTGTACTTGACTATTATAACTTTAGTGTAAGTCTTGAAATTAGTAGTGTCAGTCCTATGATTTTGTTGTTCTTCATTATTGCACTGGCCATTCTGAGTCTTTTGCCTCTCCCTAACTAAATATATGGAAACAAGATTTAATTTCTTGATATCCACAAAATAACTCAGCTGAATTTTTACTGGAATTGCATTATGTCTATAGATCAAGTTGAGAAGAATTTACATTTTCACATTATTGAGTCTTGTTACTTACGTACATAAAATCTCTTTGTTTATTTAGATTTTCTTTAATTTATTTGATTTGTCTATCTCATGTGGCTCTTTTACACATTTTGTTGGATTTATACCTAAGTATTTTATTTTTGGGTGCTGTTAATTTCAAATTCCAATTGTTCATTGATGGTGTATAGGAAAACTGTTATGTATTAACCTTATATTCTGTATCTTTGCTATAATTTCCTTTTTGGCTTTTTATTAAACACTAGCTGCACTTCCAATATGACAGCAAATATGAGTGGCAAGACAGGATATCCCTCCTGATCTTACGGGGAAACATCTAGTGTCTCACCATTCAGTATGATTTAGTTGTAGACTTTTTGTACTTCTTCTTTATCAAGAAAGTTTCCTTTTATTCCTAATTTACTGAGAATAATTTTTTTTAATCATGAATAGGTGTTGAATTTTGTCAAATGATGTTTTTATACCTACTGATGATATCATGTGATTTTTCTTTTTTAG